ATGGACGTGAATACGGCAAATACGTCAAGTCGTTCTTTCCCCCTAGTTTAAATACTGAAAATACACTAATAGTGTTATTGTTAACAAAAAAAAAATCAGCCCGAAAACAGGAAGCCAATCAATGGTATACTCTGCAGTGTTTGGAGTGCTGTTCCTACTATAGTTGTGGGTAAGCTCATTAGACCGCCAGACGTGCCACCAACGGCACTTTGACCAAGTCCACTCAATCCATTTAGTCCACCAAAAAGCTGTTGCAACTGTGGTCTGCACACACATACTTCAGCCTATGTGTTGAAATTGAATGTTTTTTTTTTATTTTGCAAGAAAAATGAAATCAAAACAACCAAAAGAAGAAAACTAAATAAATCGATACGAGTCAATCAAAATCAATTTAAAACAGTCTACACTTCAATCTTACCAGACACACTAAAATGACGAGAAAAGCTATGATTTTACTCGAAAACATGTTGCTCTCGCTAAATTCAACGAACTCCTTTCGTCAAAAATTAAACAAAAACACTGTGTATATGCTTCGCTCAACTGCGATAACTGTACCGAAAACGGCAATTTTCAGCGAATTTATAGTATTTTCAACTGAATCAATTATGTTCTAAAGATGTGTTTGTTTATTTATAATGGCGAACTACAATTAAGTTTGCCTCATTATTCACATTGATGGCAAATCAATGATTTACATTGTTGTTTCAGTCAATAATTACTCTTTTCATCTTTCGCAATTTCGGAAGTCTAACGGTTTTTGTCATTCGAGTACAATCATTTCTATTTTTGCACTACTTTAGTGTTTGCATAACCTCACGATTGAATAGATGTTTGAAAACAAAAGTCACCACATATGTGTGTGTATCGAAGCGAAAACAAGTGAACTTTTCTGGTTTTGGAGAAGAACGTTATTCGTTTCATTATATTCTTGATGATTTTTGGTATGCATCTTGTAAACAACGGCACCTAAACCAGAAGTTCTTGTCAAGAACATATAATCAGAATTTTAAACTGTAGGAATTTCTGTTCTTTGTAATCGGAGATAAATTTGGCCTACAGTTGCTTTCGCAAATTTCAACTAGAAGTGAAAATAATTCGTGCAGTTGAAGATGAGAAACATGGAACAAAAATGATGAGCTATGTTACAAAGTATCCGGAAAGGAGTGAGTCTGTGCAAATGTGTCAACATCAGACGGCTCTTTAACAAGCTAACAACTCAACACTAAAGGTGTATATCGTACTGCGTCATACAGTCTGTCTGATGTATGAATTTTCTCAGGAAAAAGGCAACACATTTTCGGTACTCGTTCAATGGAAAGAATGTCGACGAAATTTATGTGCTATAAAAGTTATTCATATTTCATTGAGAACCAAGAGAGAGGAAGATAGAGTGAGAAAGGGAGAAAAAAATGGTATGGAGTGTGTGTCTACTTAATTTTCGGCTTTAAACGAACTAAATGCTGTCAAAAAATTCAACACTACAAACATTTTTCTGAATAAACTCCATAATTAAAACGAATAAAATATATGACAGTGGCTACAGGCAATATGCTCGAAAGTTATTCGCTTGAACGCCCGAAAAAAGGTTTGAAATGTCAAAACGAAACGAGAAAAAAAAGAAATTAAGTGAGTCGACAACAAAACTAAATCATTTTCAGTTGACGACCAAAAGCAGTTCAGTCTGTTGCCATGCGTATGACAGCATCGCTGCATATGATGACGAAAATCGATGCTGTCAACGGTGATCCACAAAGCAAATTTAATTTTGTACCATATATAGCAATTAGGGTGGATTGAATGTGGCAGGTTTTGTGTGTTTGGAATTGGATTGGGCAAATTGGTCATTCAAAATACAAGATCAAAATGAACATGTATTAGAAATGAACCCATATGAATGAGATGACTAACTCAACATTCTGACTTGTGACTTTTGGATTTTCCGGGAAAGGCTTTGATGATACAAAATACTGAACTGCTTCAAGCAATAAAAAATGTTCAGTTCACCATCGTTCCACCCTTTTCATCCAAACAATGCATGACAAATGTAGAAAACTTTTGAAAATCCATTCGTTATGGGATGCTTTTTAGTAAGCCCATAAACGTTTCAGTCGCATCAGCGCGAGCGAAACAATGGTGAAGCATTGCATTTAAATTTAATTATATGTAGGATTTTGTGCTGTACAATTTGTTCAAAAGCATTTGTCATTGTGCATTTCGTATGCAATTCAATTCAGTTGCTGTGTGTAATGTGCGCGTCCGCAAAAAAGCCGCTCAAACAATGATTTGGTTATCTCTCGGGGAATACCGCTGTATTCATTATTCCATTGTGACAGATGAGCAAGATTCGTGTGTGTGTGTGTGTGTGTGTGTGTGCACGTGAACGTGTGTGTAAATGTGCATATTCATTTGAAAATCAGTTTTATGGAGCGGATAAATGCGGGCAATAAAACACAGTTTTTTTCATTTCGATTCACTACAGATGTGTCGTCAAGTGAGTGAAATCCCATTGAAAGTTTTGCGACCGTTGTTAATTCGAACTCCCATTGAGATTAACCATAATTTTACCTGCAAACTCTTTCTATGCACTCCATTCGGTTGCCAAAAAGCCGAATTATCATTAGTTCTCGGAACCCCATTTTCCTGCAAACTAAATTGAATCGAGCATTTTATTTCGTTGAATTTTATTTATTTCCTTTTTTTTATTAAAAAAAACAGACTAATGCGCATGTCATTTACATTTGGTGCTAACTAACGATTATCTAAATTCTTGAACAACAAACAGTTTGTGTATATTTGTTTGAAACTTTGTTTTTTGTTTGGTTTCAATGAGGTTCATTCTGATAGTTGAATCCCATTTAAATTCTAATTATTCAGTCAAATTTGACTTAATGTCTTTTCTGAATGTATACATATATATAGGGTTTTTGTCTTCAATAATAGAGTATTATAACAAGTTTATTCTTTACAGAGGAAATATTGTCGTTTTTTTTAAAAAGGAGTTTTTTTTATCACGTTAAAACCGTTTCTTTGCCAAAGCGATCGAAACATGCCTCGACTGCAGCATATACCATTAGAAGTCGCCGCTCTATGGCTTTGTAGTGGTCATTTGTTAAGAGGGGATAAAGCAAATCACGTTTTGACACCTGATCCAATAGTTCGGTCAATGTACCACCGGAGAAGAACAGCAAGCGGTCCCATGTCGATTTGCGGAGTCTGAAAATTTGTTTGGAACGAATTGAATTAGATTGAATTGAATAGAATTGAAAATGTCTCTAAACAGTCAAGTTTGGATATGATTTATATTGAATTCAATTGACATTCATCGCAGTGTTGTAAATTTTGCCATTTTAATTACATGCGCATTTGTAAGGTTTTGTGGAAGCCGTTGATAAAACGACTAAAAAAACATACAAAAAATATACGGATTTTGATGAAAATTGACACAGACATATTTTAGGAGATAAATTTTAATATCCACCAAGTTTCAAGTCGATGCGACCTTCCAGAGCTGAGGAATTGCCGATGGAAAAAATGTAATTAAACAAAAGCAATCATTGCGTGTAATCATTACCTTTTTTTTAATTACATTTTTTCCATCGGCAATTCCTCAGCTCTGGAAGGTCGCATCGACTTGAAACTTGGTGGATATTAAAATTTATCTCCTAAAATATGTCTGTGACAATTTTCATCAAAATCCGTATATTTTTTGTATGTTTTTTTAGTCGTTTTATCAACGGCTTCCACGAAACCTTACAAATTTTGTAATTGCACTTTTACAACTCTGATTCATCGCAATTGAAACAAATATTGTAAATGCTCAAGCTTAGATACATACACACAGCACTGATAAAGTGGCGCTAAAATGTCAATATGATCCACATTTGGATTGCCGAATCCTTTGCCGTTATCGATAAGTACAACCCGATCTTCCCTCGTTTCATAATGGTGTCGATCGCCGTTTTGTATTAAAAAATCGAATATGGCCACATCGGCTAGGTCCAAAAGACGTGTATATGATAATTTATCTTTTAATGGAACACAGTAATCCATATTCTCCTCCCAAGGTGCCAGATGATTCTCTTTGTATGTGCGTTGCCAAGGCGAACGATACTTTTCAAATGATCCAGGAACTAAATACAAAACGACGCCTTCAAGTAAATGCTCATCATCGCCGCACACATCCTCCGTCTCTTTGCAATAAAAACACTTGCCATACACACAATACTTTGTTTGATCATCTGAAGCAGAAGAATTTAAATTAAAAACATATTTGAATTGTAGAAATCTTCTGTTCATTAAAAAAAGAATTCAAACAACTCAATGCCAACAAAATCGAAAGATATGCAAGCTATTTACCATTGACCGTCATTGTGCTTCTCAGTAATTTGTCAGCTTTATTCTCGTATATTTCTGACAAATTGATTTTCCGACCAACGGCAACTGGCGTCCATCGCATATCCAATATAGCACCTAAATAAAAGGCAATGATTTCCGCATTGAATCGATCCTTTCCTGAATACACTGGCCCATCTATGACTTCGGTTCGTTCGTACCATTTTGGCTTGAAAATAACTTTTTGTTTACCGGCAAGCGTTAGCAACAATTTCAATTGGGTTCCTTTCGGTGCATTTCTTGCTGCAATTATTTCCTCGTTGCGGAGAGCGTTAAGTAGCTGACCCATTGTCGTGTCCAGTGCCGGGAACAGATCATTGTCACTTGGCCACTGCGAAAATTAAAACGTTCAATGATCGTAACGAATGCAAATATGAATTAATGAATATCAATATTTTTATGATTATTTTCGAAATGTAATTTTTTTTGGTTGAACTATTCGTGCTTGATTCAAATAAAATAATTAAAAAATACTCATCATTTTATTCAAACAAATGCTTGATCACCCAAAATGAATATTTATTAATTTAATGAATTTTAATTTTGAACCAAAAAAGGGCGAAAATATTCGAATAATTTTTGCAACCGATTTACAAACTGCTGTCAACCAATTAAAACCCAATTAAACTTTCCATGGCGAAAAAATCACTCACCCAATACGATATGTCCCACACCAATGTGACATTTTCGTATGTTTTCGGTTCAAAGTTGCGCCAAACTTTGTTCCTAATGCGATAATACTGCGGATTTCGATTAAGATAAATGGGTTTCAATGAGCGTACACGTTTTTTCAATTGATGAAAATAACCGGATTTTGTTGAGGCAGCCTTCCCATAGCTCGTGTCACCGCCAACATTTTGATTGACATTCAAATGGGACATAAAATAGAAGTTCAGCGAATATACTATCAATATCAATGCGGCCAATAGTCCGAGAATTATCCATACTATCTGTTTTGTCATCTGGTTTCTTACGTTACGGACCGTTGCACAAACATTTCACTGCACGCAGCCAATACGTGCTTGCCACAATTACACTTCAGAAACTATAGACAGAAAACGAGCATTAATTAAAACAGTCAACAGACGAGAATATGTGACGAATGTGTAAAAACAATCGAATGGAGAGTGAAAAAACATTGGAAAAAACCACAAACGAATCGATGGTGACACTATTTGGTGACAGTTGCTCGAGAATAAAGTTCTAAATGGAGGAATGCATTAAAATTGGTCATCTTTGCAATAATAACCGCACAAACGCCAAAATTAATTCGTGTAGTTTTTTCCACCATTTAATTTCTATCGTTAGTTCTACATTGTTCGTCTGGAGTTATTGTTGATGGATTTCCTCGTTTTGCTTGATGAAACTTTTGTGACAGAGAAAAACAAACAATTCGTAACACGCTGTTTCAAGATTGAAGTGCAACTGAGTTGATTTATTTGCGTCACTCAATTATTCGCTAGATTATGAAAATTTGCTCGTATTTTTTTTTGGCAAATATTATTATCGCTAAAATGTGTAACCGTTTTTTTTTTTTCTGCGGCACATATTCTTCATTCAGATTGGTGTGGCACAGCACTAAAGTGAATGAGTTGATTTTATTGTTGTCGCTCGTTACTACAATTTCACCGAAAAATCATTTGTTTTAATTGAGTGTTGTTGCTACTGCTGCTGCTGCTTGAAGTTTGCACTCGCAAATCTCTCACTCTCGGGCGCACGCATATGGTGCAATTTTCGTGCGATGGCATTTTAATGAGACAATGCCATTTCGACAGTTACGTGTATTGTTTTTTTTTTGGTGCATCAGTTCGTTTTTTTTCAGTTTCGCTTCTTCTCTTTGGTCCTAGCTATTATTAAATCACATGGCCACGGAAGAAATTTATGGTGTGAACGTGTTTATCGCCCTTCTCTACATTTTCATTAATTATTCGTACTCTTTTTTCTCATTGTTTTTGTGTGCGAGTGTTTATTTCAAACGATTTTTCCCACTTGCGTACGTCAAAAATAGGTTTCCGTAAAAATAGGACGTGTAAAAAGTGGCACAGCTGCACTATAATGCACCAAAAACAAAAATTCGAGCGAAAAATCGCACACGCAAAACAATTGGGCTGTGCTTACTCAACAAGAGACCTTGCTGCAAACGAGAACAAACGAGTCAAGTTCACGGAATGCCGGGTCAAAGAAGAAGAAAAAAAAAAATCCACGAAAATTCACGCAAAACTTATTGTCAATCAAAATGAAATTTATTGTATTTTGCACATGATTTACTTGTGAATTAGCTTCTATTTGGCCTTATTTCAAAGCACTAAACACAAGAATAAATACATTTCGCTACTTAAAACACGACGAAAAAAAAAAGAACTAAATATATTGAACAAACTTGCTGCAGTCCAACGAGTTCATGTGTTTACTTTATTTCTCTGATGACAGCTGTCAAAATGAGCCGGATGTCAGGGTCATTCAATTTTTGTTTTGATTCTTCAAAAAAGCCATACTCATGTTCGTTGGTTGCGTTTATATTTGGAAATCGGTGAATCGTCCGGTGGAGCTTCGGTTGTTTCGATCGTTGGTTCCATTGTGACTGATTGATCTTCACACAGCTGTTGAATATAATTTATTCGAAAGCCACGTCCAACTCCTGCATCGTTTGTGCGCACTGGAATAATATTCAGACCGTTGCTGGTGTCAGTGATGACTGCATTCGCTGTTAAATCATCATTTCGATTGGCATCATTCAACTTTTCACCGCATAAACGAATTGAATTCACCGATATATAATCATCATTGCAACTGAATATTTCGACTCCTGCTTGTTTCTCTGGAATCACACTCATACCCTCTGCAGCACATCGAATTCAATTTTAAAATTATTACAAAGAGATAACTTTTTTAATTTCCGAAGTAAGAATTTGCTTTCTTCACCTGAATCGATATTGATTAACTGAAAATCGTACTCCATATCGTCGGCCTCGTTGCTGTAGGTCGTGGAGCAATAATTCCATTGGCGTTGTATACAAATCACATAGTTGAGATTATTCTGAAAAAAGAAGGGGACATTTTTCGATCGAACCCTGCGCGCACCATTCAGTTGCTGCTATGACATTTGTTTGGTAGCTGGGAAATGGGATATTTTTGACACTGCGCACTACCACAACTTTGACAACTGAATTATTATTATTGTTTTTGTTCTCTTGAATAACACTTTCTGTACTTTGATTGTGACGATAAAAAAAATTATCAAATAATTGATAAAAATTAACGTTTTGAACGAAATTTGCTTGTGTTTTTTTTTTGTAAAATTTTGTGTCATTGTTCATACTTACGAAATAGCTTGGTACGCGATTCGTAACAAACTGTGATGTGTCATCGTAATTGAATGTTTGGAACCAGCCATCGGTCTCCGTGTAATATTGTAGACAATTGTTTGGTGCTAACGAATCTTGTAACTAAAATGTGAGTTTTCTGAGTGAACATTTAAAAAAAAAAGATATTTTCATAGGGAATTTACTTGCTGCACACGAATATTAAAGGCTCTTGTAGCCACTGATGATGTCAAAATCGTTAAAAACACCTTTCGATCCATTGAATTACTCACTTCGATGTACACTACAAGGATGGAAAAAAAATTGAAAATCATCGAAAAGTGAAACAATCCATTTCTGAATGAAACACTATCAAGCATAGATTACTGTGTTGACCGCTGTTAACACCACATATTGTTGGAACCATATTGTTCAGATTTTGTCCAGCAACATAGAATTGGTCATCAATACAGTTACCATCTGTTGGTGCTTTGAGCTGAAAAAAGTTTGAGTGTCTGATATTTCAATACCATTTTCTCTCCCTCTCTTTCTCAATATTTCCCAATTTTTTTTATTATTAATTCATCAAAATAAATCAATCGAATGAAAATCATCATAGAAACAGACATCTTTAACATTTTGGAATATTTCGTAGTCAAGCATGTTAATTACCTCAAGCAAAATCATATCCAATCGCACTTGTTGTACATTTTCTTGCAATTCAATAGTTAGAGTGCAAATTAATCGATCTTGGCTCGCTTCAGGCCATCCAGGATTTTGAAAGTATGAATCAAGTTGGTTCGTTGTTTGACCACATCCGGTTTTAACTAATAAGTTAAATGTTAATTTTCAAAAAATCAAATTTGCGTCCAAGAATCAAAAAGTTTGGAAAAATCCAAATGAAAATTAAAGTTTGAATACAAAGGAACTAAAATTAAATTTCCTGCAAAAAAAGCGAAATTTTCTTACAAACACAACAAACTCCAAGACCATCAGCGCATTCATCAATCGATGATCCACCCATTTCAGTGCATTGAAAGTCTTGATAGCAAATGCCCGACATTTCGGTTAATCCTTCCTGTGTCGATGTGCATGGACCATTTTCGAATTTAATGACATTAAAAAGGTTCAAAAATCTTTGCCCATTGACAAGTGATGCCTTTGTATCGCTTCCATGTGCAAGCCATTGTTTGATTCTCTTGCGAATCAATTGTAGTGTTTCTTTTAATGAAGACGATGCGTTGGGTCGTTGAATCATTGTTGTTGCGTTTTTTCGTTTTGCTGCATTGTTCCAATTGAGCAATGATGAAAATGCTATCACTGGCTGTTTGTTTGGTCTAGTGCCCTCAGTTGATGATACTTTGTCATCAGTCGTCGTGCTCTGCGTACTCGTCGTCTTCATCATTGTGCTTGACGTTGTAATTGATACATCGCTGCTTGCGGGGCTTGCAATCGTTGTGGTTAGATTTGAAGCAATTTCAGTAGAAACAGATACCGTCTGCATTCCATTCGCTTCCATTGTTGTAACCGACACCGCTGGTGGAGGTGTAGGCATTGAAACAGATACATCATTCCACGTCGGCTGGTCGTCACTTGAAACATTTGATTGCCGTTTTTTATGAGTCTTTTTCGGATCGAATCGAAGCCCATATGCTTCTTTGTAATTCAAATATAAATAGTTGCGCGCACTCGGTTGCAATCGTCTTACGTGGGTTTCACCTGCTTTTAATAGATTGGGCTTCACTTGCGAAATGGCCACCGTGGTGGTGATATATTTACTAAGAAGCCAACAGTTTAACAGAATCAACACCAAATATTGAGCATTCATTCTGGCACATGTTCAGAGCTTTTTTTAAAAGAACATCTTTCAATTAGTTTTTTATATAAAACAAATTCGTACACAATAGATTCACATCAAAAGAAAACTCTCTTATCGCACTCACGAGCAAATAGAAACTAATGTCAACTTTGGAAATCTATGCCAATTCTCTTCAACTCTTTTATTTTTTTTTTTGATCTGCACAATTTCATAGAGACGATTTTTTGCTGTTTGCAAGCCCATTCCCCTTTATTGCAGTCATTTTGCACGAGTACACGCACATGTGCAGCAGGCCTTAGCTCTCAGTTCTACTCTTCATTTTTTTTCAAGCAGAAGACTGTAATTTCGCTCCATTAAAACGGTTTACATTTGTTCACCAATTGCAAGTCTTTGCAGTCGATTCTCGATTCTCGTTTCTATTTGTCTTTCGTCAAGTATGAACATACTCAATGAAGCAGCGGACTTGTCGGCACACTCGTGGATTTAGCATTTCACTTGCTTTGGCGATTCGTGAGTTGCCGAAGCATCATATATGCAGTGCACTCGATGTTTAACGTGAAAACCTATATTCGGTACATCGAAGTCGGCCGAGGTATGATTTCGTTTGGGCGTAGCGCGTAAGCAATTCACTTGCGATATAATGTGAATCCCTATATACTATATATCGCAAGTGAATTGCTTACGCGCTACGCGCAAACGAAATCATACCTCGGCCAACTTCGATGTACCGAATATAGGTTTTCACGTTAAATATCGAGCCTGTCATTATTCCATTATAAATTTTAATTTATGCCTTACCGTTCCATAATATATCACAAGAAAATTATTGTCATTCGATCGTATTATTCCATTTGCAGTATGCAATAAAAAGCGATTTATTCATATTTTGCCATTTTCTTTTAATGCAGATATCAAAATGGGTTCGGAACAATCACAACAAGCAAATGCTGCGGCTGCCCAAGGAAGAGTGAATAATCAAAGTCGATTGCAGCGTGGTCATACGATAGCAGTGAGTGGACGTCGATTGTCGTCACCAAATGATGACTTCACTGCGGGTCAAGCACCGCCAGACTCGCGACCAGTTTCGCCACCAATCAGCGTTTGCTCCGACTCCGACTTACCATACGTTTCGTACACAGATAAGCTTGGCGGTGAGTTTTTTTTTCCTGCTTTTTTATTGGAATTGTATCTTCCCCAAATTCTCTTAACACACTGACCTTATCTTCACGTTTTTAAAACTGTTTTGCAGACTCACCGAAACGGCAGAACAAAGGGAATAGCAGTAACAATAAGAATATACGAAATGTAGGCACAACAAAGCGAACGATTTTATCAAAATCCAAAGCAAAATCCATGGCTCATGACATCGTTGTCGTACGTGAAGCGAATAGAAAAAACGAAATCGATCCAGACATTCAACGGCTACAGGTAAACAACACAGATTTTTTTTTTCATTCAAAAATCAATGTACAGCAGCTGTTATCCAAATTGTCAATCGCATATTTCTTTCGGAATTAATTCAAATGCGAATATTGAATTTGCTAAGACCGTTTTTTCTCCTCCAACTTAATTGGGTGCACTTTTTTTTCTTTCAAAAAAGAACTGGTTTCAGATCAATTTGCGTTCCGATCGTTTTCGTCATCACACAAACACATATCGCGCACCTATTGTGCAATCAAAATTCTTAACTAGTTGGCCCAATAGAGTGAACGCAGTCAATGTCGTTTGGAAACGACACGATTGAAAAAAAAATTCAAATGATTTTGTGTAGGTGAGACACGAGCGAGTTATGATGGTTGGTTGGTTCAAATTTATTCATCGAAATTGAAAACGCCTTTAAAAATAAATCCAAAATTAACTACAAAAACAAATAGGAATGTCTTAAGGTCGCTAAAATGTTCATCTTTAGCTAAGGTAGCGACCAAAAACGTTATAACCTCCAATTGTTATGCAGAAGAAATGCTTCCTTCAGTTAATCACATGTAAAATCTAACAATTTATATGACCAATTTGCTAAATCTTCTGTTTGTGGCATCATAAAATCGCAGATTTAATGCAAAATTAAAAACAAACGATGCAGATGTTCTTCGCAGACAAATACAAAATATTTGACGCAAACAAAAGTTTCACGGCTTGACTCTGTCACACACAACACATACGGAAGGAACAACAACAACAATGACGACGATAGATTTATGCGAAATGCACACAGATCGCCTCTTTTCATACCAAACTTGTTTACGCTCGCTGTGCGGCACCAAATAAACACACTATACCAGCCACACTATACTCACGATGATGTGCTTCGACAGCACAACGTAGATGTTTTTTTTGCTTCGTTTTCTCTTTTTTCGAATTTCTTTTTTTTCCATTCGTTCCATTCACGACGACGACGGAGTGCAAATGTGACGTTCGATGCAAGACCGAAAAGAAGCACGTGAAAAATCCGAAACAAAATAATCAAAACAAAAAAAAATGTGTCGGTAAGCAGCTTTTGCTTACGTAAGTATGGCAATTCATGAATCACACTCACACACAATGCACTGTGCAATATGTGCAGAGTGCAAACTTTCATCTTTCGACTTATCACGTTCCTCGGCCACAATTCCAGTGCTGCGCAGCACATATTCGGCAATGTTGTTGTTTTTAACGTGCGTCTTTACAGCGCATTGTGTTTTTCCCGTAAATAAACGGGCATTCTTTCGAAGAACAACTTCGAGTTTGCCATTTAAAATGCCAATCGAATGAGGTAAAAATGAGTTTTTTTTTGGTGAGTGATTTAAACGTTTCACCAAGCGCTTTTGTTTTCCAATCGTTCCGGCAGAAATTCGGCCGACAAAAAAAAATGAAATCACTAAACTTTGAATAAATTAATCATTACAATCGAGAATTTCGTTCAGTTTGTTTTTTATAAATATTTTATACACGCCAACACACATTTCAACCGATTATTTCTTGTTTTTTTTCCTTCTCTTTATTGTTGTGAAATGAATAAAAGACACACAGAATTACAAAGAGAAAAAAAAACATGTTTGTTAGCATTTTATTAGTGTCAGTTGGATATATCGTTTGATGGCTCGGAAAGAAAGGAAGAAAATATAATCATAAAAACTAGAAGAAATTAAGTACATCGGTGTTTATATCTCGTTATTCAATTCGAATAAGGCCAACTCAATTGGATTTAATGATCGTTGTCAATCGTGTTATGTGTTAAATTGCTTTTACATAAACAGCTGCTACAGCAGCAGCAGCAGCGGCAATATTTTTCATTCGTAGTCGGGCAAGCCAACACCTACACGAGTTACAGCGGAGTTGCGTACGCTCATTGGCCGCTGGGTTTGTTGGCCAACTCGACCATTGAACAATATATTGGTCCTAAGATGTTGTGGAATGTGTTTTGGTTTTTGGCTGATGCACGTTGAATATTCCTCTTCCTCATGACGAACGGTTCGACTTGGTGGCTCATCGTAATAGCTATCGATGGATTTTCGCGGAGCTGGCTTTGAATCTCGTATCGCCGTACGTTTCGGTTCTCGTTCATATTCTCGGCCATAGTCATGGCGATCATAATTGGGTGAACGTCTATCACTACGGATTGGACTTTCTTCATAACGCCGTGGTCGGTCTCTGTATTCAATGGTGTCTCTTGGCTGTGGATACGAAACTTTTTGGGATCTTTCATAGCGACGTTCCACATATCCTCTATCACCTCGGTCATGGTAATCATCATATCGATCATTATATCTGTATGGTTCGTTGCGACTTCTTTCTTCGTTCCTGTATCGATACTCTTCATCACGATATCCTCTACTTTCATATCTATCTGCATGGTGATCATAGTCCATGTTATTTCTTCTTGGCTCAATTCGATCTGAGTTCCAACCATATGAATCTCTTTCATAATCTCTTTCATCGCTGTTTTGGTTCCGTTTTTGAGACGACAAATTCAAATTTTTCACTTCTTTGATGATCGTGCTCAGTTTCTCTGGCTTCTTATCGGCACCTGTATCAATTTCATCGATATCTTTTGCCAATTTCGATATATTTTCCACCGATTTGCTCAGATTTTTGGGTAATAGTCCTCTTTTCGGCAACGGTTTCACCAACACTTTCTCAATTGTCGACTTCTCTTCGTTGTTTTTCAAAATGCCTTTTGTTTTCTCTGTCGCTTTTTCATCCGTTCGAAATGAAATCCGTTTTTTGCTTACGTCGGGACTTTCATTTTTCGATTTCATTTCATTTTTCGGTTTGATTTCGTCTTTCTGCATTTCTTCCACATTCCGTGTGTTGTTATTGACTGGTTTCCCATTTTTCGCATTGTTTTCGTGCTCAAAATCGTAGAACTCAATTTTTGACGAAAATGTTTCGAGTTTCTTTTTCTCTGGTTGAAAATCACTGTCATTGTTATTATTTAAATTGATGTTGTCAATCTTTTTGAAATGTCGTCGACGTGCTTCGGGTGTTTTAGCATTGACATTATCATAAAATTGGATGCCCGATGACAGTTGCTTGCGAACTAGTTCCTTTGGCTTGATGTCGGATTTTGCGATGTCAGTTTGGTTATTATTGTTTGTAGTAATTGGTGGTGCTTTTGAAATGGTACGCTTCGACCGTGGTTCGACCGATACCAAATCGGTTTCATCTGGCCAAAAGAAGTGCGATTCCATACGATTTACATTACGCGTGGATTCACGTGCCATCATTTCGCTGGGCAAACCAGCGTAAAACTTTCCTTTTATCATTTTTTTTACGTCTTTTTATGAATGTTCATTAATACGAATTGTTTGTTGAAACGAAACGAAATATTTCACTTAAAATCCTTGTCACACAAAAATAAAATCTTATTCAAATGTCAGAAACACAAACTTTTCTTGTTTCAGGACTTTTTTTTTTCAAACTTTGTCTCTTTTTTTTCTTCTCAAAATTCGTCGAAAAATAACACTCTCGTTTTTAAGCTAAACAATTTCGTTGCATGTGAACGAAACGTAGATTTTCGGCTTGATGTGTCATGCATTGACCACGATCAAGTCGCAACTGAATCAAATTAATTCGATGAGGAAAAAACATTGCGCTCACACAAATATGAACAACACAATGAACGTGTACCATCGAGACAACATCGATTCGATACATTCGATTTCTCTTTCATTCTTTTTGCCCGTCGAACGAACTCCTTCAACTTTTCTCGACCATAGAACAGTCAAAGTATATGCGACAGCGACATGTGTACGAGAAAGATGGCCAACGCCGACGACCTGTTTCAAAAGCCACACATATTTGCATTTACTCAATTTGGTAGTCGGTTGTACCTACACGATTCCATTAAAAAAAAAACCATTGTACGCGCCGTTTATTCACATGCTTGAATTCTTGAGCCAGAGCGAAACAGAAACAAAAACAACATCAGCATACAATAAATAATTTGGATAGGCGCGCAAGCGAGCCAGCGAGCGTTGTGTAGATGTGTTTTGGTGGTGGCAGAAAAAGCAGCGGGCGTCAATCTGTTTCCAAAAAAGCGTTTTCGAATCGAGTACAAGCGTAAAGTTAAGATAAGAATGATTACATAAACCAATGTTTGCTAGAAAAAAAAACATATTAACTTTTTGTCGGTATACAAATTACGCCACTGATTTTAGCGTTGCGATAGCAGGTACACACGCACGCTAAGTGGCCAACTTTGAAAGATGTCGGCTTATAAATTCTATCCTTTCATCTAAATTTCTGATTAAAAGTTCGCCAGAAACAAATACAGCAATTAAGCAAAAACAATTTTTAAATAAATTTGAGCAAAGCTGAAATCAATTTGAATATTCTTGCATGTGCTCCAAAAATTACACCAAAAGAATTTCGTTGCATTTAAACGCAAAAACAAATGGCAATGCACGGCATCAATACATGGATTAGACGAATTTGCAATGTGCATACGAAATATGCAAATAAAAAATCAAACGTCAATTTGTACGGGCCAGTACGGGTGATATGCAGAAATTGGTATTGAGCGCGAACGTCAAACCATTTTCAGCACGAAATGCAAGATTCTATTTGCAAAATCCTACCTTCTGCTTTAGCTCAGAATATTATATACAAAAGCGTGTGGCCAGAGTGTGTCAGCCTTGAACATTCCGAATACGGTAATCGGCCCACACTGATCGTCGTGCCTATTTGCAAAATTTATCGACATCAATAGCTCTTTTATAGCTCTATTCAGTTGCGTTCGCATCACAAACATCACGAAAGCATTGGAGATAATCATGAAAAGCAAATATCAACATCTGCAAAATACAAAATGTATACAATTATTTCGTCATCAAATGTTCTTTTCAAATCAATTTGCTGACACACAAGAGTCGCGCGTTAAAGCGAGAAAAAGTGGAGAGTTCAGAACGACGATGAAAGTGCGATTCCATTGAATTATAAAAATTTTAAAAAAATGATGATTGACTTATGTTAACCCGTGCCACAAAAGATTACTTGACGGATTTCGTTCGGAGTACGTAGTGTATGATTTGTTTTCTTTGCACACTCGCTCGTCACAGAGTGATTTGATTGTCGACTGTCAGTGTTGCGGAAAAGCCTTCACATTTTATAATAAATGCGTTACGTTCGATGTGCACGCGCTACAAATTAAGCATGTAAAGCCTTTTACATTCAAGCCAAAGCGCTCCCTATCGATTCGCCGATATAGTTAGATAGAAGCGTGGCGTGTCAACTGGATTTGGAGAAATATACACAAACGATATAGATAAATATGTCATAGATAACATTAGAAAAAAAATTATATACACGATTTAATCGCCTTAGGTATTAAAATTGACGACTAAATCTCTTTCTATCTTTTTTTTTTATAGAGCATTCCGCAATTTTTGCCGGTCATGCGAGGAACTGTTTCGTTGCCAGCCAATCGAGATCCGGAAGTATTGGAGCGACTACATCCAGAACATTTCAAGAATATGTGTAATCGAATGGAGGCTCATTTGAATGCGTCTGCCACACAAGTGGGCAATGATCAAGCACATATCACAGCAAAAATGAAAGAGGTAAGCTCCATTAATTCGATTCAATGCGTGAAACCAATAAATATTTAATTGATTCTCATGGTTCTTTCTTTTCCCGTTCCGAACTGTTTGGACGATTTAGGTGGATTACGAAGCGACCAAAGTGTTCAATTCATTCACGGAAAAACAAAAACTCTACTCAACATATGCCGAACAATTCTCAAAATTGCACCATGTGACACAGCAACTGAGCCGATGTAATGTGCTACTTAATCAGAATATCGAGAGCATGGAAATATTGAACAATATGCTTGATATTGATGATCGATTGCCACCGTTTCTATGGAAAACAACTGACGATTAAACAAAACACACGACACTTCTGTTCAACAAAACGAAGCCGAATCTCTAGTCATCCAAAATATTTACTTGCTTTTTGTGATATATAAGAACATGAAAATTGTTTTGATTTGATCGCCAATCACACAGGCGAAGAATAAGCGAAGAAGAATGTCGTTATAATTGTTTACAAGTCTCATTGTGAAAGTGACGTCAACAATGACTTCATTCAAGTTTTGAAGTGGCAAAACACAAAATTGTTGTTATAAGACAATCGAAGAAATATTTAACCTTTCTTTTTTGTCGATGCACAAATCTCTCGCGCTTAAATAAATAAAGACAAAATAACTTAGGAATACATCCCATATGAACTGCTGTGAGCATATCCATTTTCCTTTCTTTCAAATTAATGTAATGCCATATTCATTCAACTTTCAAAATCGATCTTGTCCATTTCTGCCAGCTAACAGATCATGTACTAAGAATTATTATTGCTGCTGAATATTTAATTGTAAATGAATAACATTTGGTTTCAATGAGGAAGAGCGAGAGAAATGAGTGAGTGTGTATGCGTGCGAGCGCTCATATTTATATGATAAGGTCAATTCGTAATGCCAATCAATCATAATCCACAATCATATAAATCAAAGGCTTATTAAAATCGCTTGCTCGCGAAAAAATTACTTGCTGGTTTGTGTGTGTGTGTGTTTTTTTCTCGTCATATATTGTAAAGAGAATTTAATACTGTTTTTGTCTTTTTTGTTGTTCGTTTTGTCAGTTTCATTCACACATTCTACACTTTCGAAATGTTAATGCGCATTTATATATCGCACATTTATGAAGATCATAATTTATTCTGTAGGTGAATAAAAATAAAAGCACAAAATATGTCAGCGCACTTGATATATGTACGCACGAAGGTAAGAATGATGCAAATACACCGTGATGAAAATGACTTTGTTCGTGAATTTTGAATAATATGCAATGTGATTAAATGATATGTGATAAAAACCGGCTGATTTACTACAATTTTACTTTGAAAAATTTACTCGATGAGCTGCTAAATGATTTCAAACGGTAGTTTCTATAAATAGGCGAATGCATATGAACGCAAGAAACTTGGACTTTCTTCGACACACTAAAGAGGATTCAGATGGTTTAAAAGAGAAACGAAAGTTTCAACTTAAAAGTTGTGCTCAAATTGTATCGGTAAATATGCTCTACGTCGGGACAAGGTAAGGCTTCTGAACATACTATTCGCGCCAAAATCCAATCAACGTACTTGTTACCTATGAAATTGTAAACCAAATTCGACCGAAAGTTTTGGCCATGACTCTGTTCAATACACACAGAAAAGAATCCCCGGAAATTTTAGGTGTTCGCCGTAAAATTTGACATTTATATATAAATTTCTATATACATTTTACCAGCAACACTTGAATTTTCCGGGCGATGACATAATTTCAAATATTCCAACAGAAATTAGCGCCATCTGTCATTTCAAGCGGTAAAATATACATAGTATTTGATAAAATGTTCGAAAATATGTCATCGCCCGGAAAATTGAAGTGTTGCCGGTAAAATGTATGTAGAAATTTATATATAAATGTCAAATTTTACGGCGAACACCCAAAATTTCCGGGGATTCTTTTCTGTGTGTACGGTTAACAGTACGGCGTATATATCGTCTAACATAATAAAATCATCCCACTTTGACTAAAAATAGAAGTGAAGTGAAAGTCTAGTGCTTATCAAAAATCGGGCAAAGAAATAAAACGAGTGACAATTGCGCGGTGATTTTACGATTGTTTGTTTAAAAAAAAAAAAACGAACATTTTCAAGTCGATATTTGTTTAAAAATTGATTGAAAATATCTGTTAACTCATCAGAGTTCATTCAATAAACTCGTGGTATGGGTTACTTATTGTTCTGCTATTTTCGGATACATCCGATGCATTTTCCTATCGAAATTTTGATTCCACCGCATATATTGTTATTCAAAACATACATTGTAGTCGTCGCCAAGTCATTCGAGGAGATTGAAATAAAATCGGAATCGAAATACAATTTTTCCATTGGCTCGAGTCAAGTTTATCATTTGTTTTGTTTTGAAACGTTCGTGAAAAAAATAGCCTGCCTCATGTGTCTAGTGTAGCTATAAAAACAACTGTTGATATATATGTTCGTCGTAATATCACCCAAATTACCTCATCCAAATCCTCACCAAATAGCTAGCTAAATACTTCATTTGGGAAATGCCATCAAGTGCTAAACAAACCTATTTATTATTTGAGTCAATTTATGCATTCGTAACCACCGAGTACAGACGTAAGTCAACGTTTCACTGGAATTGACATTATTGTTTGTTTAAGGAACGAGTCACCAATACCGACCGAGCTGATTGAAGAGACTTGCTCACTGCCAAATGAGTGTGTATGGTTGCGCATAAAAGTATTCGGATTGTAATGAATTGCAAAGAGTGATAATGATGGTTGTTGATAAGGCTGTATGCTTATCATCGATTGGGGAAGTAATCAATTAGGACTTTATCGTGCATTTCGATATTGAAGCCATCGCTCGACAACATGTACGGTACAAATGATAAATGATTCTCAGTCTCTGCTGAGTGATTTGAAACATTTCGTCTTGTCGGTAGTTGTAATCAGTCACAGCCGGACATTTCAAGCTAACACTTCTGATATCGAAAGATGGCAAACCGTATAGATTAGGCTCGTGTGTGTTGTTTGCTTTTCGGTTTTTTGCTACTGTAAAGATGAAATTGCACGAAAAACTCGAATCAATTTAATTTGTCGTGAGTGGCGAGCGATTTTTCTATATTCGTTCTAGAACATTATTGTTTGTGACTATTGCTGCTGCTGCTGTGGCGAGCTCATACTGTGAGAGCGAGAAGAGCTCACGCTAATAGATTCTCATCGACTCTGTGCTGTATTATACATATATAATTTGGTGTTTTCGTGAAATTATTATCACTTGAATTACTATTGATTTTTTCTCAAAGAGGTTAAAGGCGTGTATTTGTGATATTTTATTGTGATAGAGACCGCCACGACGATAATTACGAACGCAAACACCAATTCCTTGCACTTTTTTTTGTCAGTATGTTTTTCAATTATTTTCTCTCTGTGGCCGGATCTTTGGTGAATGAATATTGTTTGACGTCGATTCAGAGTCATTTGGCGCTTGACACGAATAGTGGTAAAAATTGTTAACGCACAAACAGAGAAGAACACACAGCACACAATTCGAATCGAAATCGTATTGAATGAACGAATGCGCTGGATGCGCGAATCGATGTATATTTTGAAAAATAAAAAATTGACGGAAATTACGACAAAAGTGTGAGAGCTGGTGTAATTGAGTTTTTTGCGTGTAAAAGTATCTGTAACACTGCTTGTCTCTTACTGTATGTGTGTGTGTTGCTTTCGGGAAAAAGTGGCGAATCCAAATTTCAAACTGATAATGGATTATTGTGAGGCTGTCGTTGATATTGCTGAGACCAACGCTATTGCAAAGCAAAATCGTTTGACAATAATAACATTTTATCAAATAAAATTTGGTATTTAGAAACCACAGCAAATCATCATCATAATAATCGAAATATAGTGCTGCCAATTGTTTTTAAAAGTGATCAGTGATATTCGAGAAGAATTTGAATAAGATTAATAGTTGATTTTTGACAACGCAAGTAGTGATTTATATGATATTCGCCGAAATTATTTATTGCCGAAACGAAAAAAAAAATGAGCTATTACACCGACGATTTTGAAGACTTCGAGTCGAAACAATCATTGAACAGTACGTCGAATTGGAAATGGCCGTTCCATGACAATTCAAGTAAGTAAATAAAAAAATGAGTGTTTGAAAGCAAAAAAAAAAAACTTTACACACATGCTTGAGCTAAAACAATCAAACGTTGATTTGGCACTCTTTCTTTTTTTTGGTTGTTTGATAAAGTGGTTCAATTCAATTGATGTGCATCGCATATAAAGCGTGAGTCCGGTTCCGAAAGAATAGGAAAATTTTTTAAGGTCACCGCCTTTGATAACTATTTCACGCTATGGCCTACATTCTTTTCTAGCCTCGAATTTGTGTACTGATGAATTTATTAGTGGACGACCGTGTGTGAGATGTTCACTGCTTGAGGCATATTCATCTGTTATGCGCTAGGCAGCTTCACTTTTGTAAACAGAAACCGAAACAATGACAATGATGATCCAATTTCAGCGTGATTAACTGTTCTCAATATTGCAAAGTGGCATCAAATGCGATTACGCAATTGAAGCGGACAATAAAAATTGATCTAATCTTTTTTATTCGCTCTTGACGAACTCGTGCGTCGGTGTGTGTATGATTTTCTTGGTAATTCGAGCGGTTCTATTATTCTCTTAAACACGATAAATGCATGCCATAGTCATTGCACGCTTCCTTCTTATCGTCTCATATCACGGGAATCAGTCACTTTGTGACAGTAACGATGTATGTTTTTTTTTTCGGTTTTGGGAAGTGGCGAACGAAAATATAAATGAAATATAGATCAAAATCCAAATTCCACGAAATAACAATTGCCCGCATTTCTGGTTACCGTTCCAGGTAAATAAATTCCAGTACGATTTTGCAATGCAATGAAATTCCGTGGAAAAATTGTGTCGAAAGATTTTTTTTTTGTTTATTCCGTGGTATATACTCACTCGATCATTGCACTTGATTCGCGTTCGAAAAAGGCGAAGCGACAAGTGTGCATCTTGGCTCAAAGTATAGCAAAACTGACTGTAATATATTGATTGATACGATACGAACTGAAATGTCAGCAGTTGAAGAATCAGTGATTTTATTTTTCGTTCGTTCATTATTGTTATTTTTGTGTATTCGTTTTGAATTCAGTCAGAGTTGAAATTTCCAATGTAAAACACACTGATTACACGGCGCGCGCGACTTAGTAAATATAAAAATGGTGACGCACAGCGATTGTGCTAATCGCGCTGAGACGCGCACTTCTCATTTCTTTTCGCTCTCATTGTCATTGTGTTCGAGAAGTTATGAAATTTCCAGCACCGTTACAAATTTATCAAACAAATAAAACGCCATTCATCGCATTCTAATGATTGCATGTCCAATTTACGACATAACAGAGTTTCCTTGCCTTCTTCATAATTGATTTGTTGATTATTTCGGGGCGAAAAATCCAATTAAATCCATCAGTTCAATGTCATAAACAATTTCGACGCGATGGAATACAAAGTTTATTGTTGGAATGACATGTTTGCCGCTTGATCGATTAAACAACCACTTATCGGAAAGACAAGAAGAAATTTCTTTGTCTGTTGCCTTCGAAAACCGACTAATTACACAAAACAAGAAGAAAAAACAGATTTCATTTGTTTATTTTACCAAAAGATTTGTTATAATGCTTATTGATTTATGATTGTGAGTGGATGCGTAACAACGGCGCTACTATTAAGAAACCATTCGGTAGTTCTCCATTGTATTTTATCAGGCACAACACATGACCACAGAAAATGCCACCGTTTACACACACACTCTCACTCTCTCTCTCTCTCTCTCTCTCTCTCTCTCTCTCTCTCTCTCTCTC